ACCTTTTTTGCAATATCAGCTCTTATTATATGTTTTGATTCATAAGCTTGGTCCTCTGGATCCCTCTTCCTTCCAAGATTCCTCAGATCTTGATGTTCTGGTCAACATGATGAATAAGAATTGTGGACTTGAAGTACTAATATTTTGGCCACATGCAGTTGGATCTCCAGATGAAAAGACTTACCTCAGAAACCACATCACAGATGTTGACCTCATTGATTTCCTTTCTTACCTGTCTTCCTGCATTTTCTTCCTATTTTCCAAACAATAATTTGATCAGGTACTGTATTTGATAGAGAAATTAGATTTTTATCATAAATTATATTTCTCTGAATCCTAATCCCAGACACATTACAAATAAACTATATTACACCTCCCTGCAAATTTAATAATCCTTATTTATGTATTGCCCAAACATGTGTAACCACCTGGCGGTGATGGCAGGTAATTATAATGTTGTCTAGGAAAATGTTTGAATCCTTTTGATACTGTTTGTCTTTTCTGAATTGAAATCACCACGGGAATTATACATTTTGTTATATCTTTATGGAGGATATGATTCAGGATGTAGTGAAAATTAATTTTGTTTGATTTAACAAGTATTCTTGGAGAAACAATTTACAATAAAAACTTCTTCCTTTGAAGAGAAATAATTATGTAAGCATGTGAGTTCATGTGGAAATTAATGGTAGGTGTTTTAAGACAAGTTTTAAGACAAGTTCTTTGCCATCAGATGGTTTTCTTATATATATATATATATATATATATATATATATATATATATATATATATATATATATATATATATATATATATATATAAACATACATTATAAATGTGTTTCACTGGTTTTGTTTCACTTGTTTTGATGTAGGGTGCTGTCGAGTGTAATCCATTGAACTATGCCTGTGAAATCTCATGTTTCTGAGTGAAATCTCATGTCTCTGGCTGTAGTTTCCTCACCAGATGTGATCCACTCTACACCATAAGTGGATTGTTTCTCTCCATTTTATGGATTACCACACCTGATGTTGTTCCAGTCATGGGAAATGTAAAATTTATAAATTTGCAAGCCAGTTTGTTTCCACAGGATCCAAAAGCAGCAGAACTTTCTCATTGAGATAGACAAAAGCAGATAAAATGCTTGTTGTGTGTCATAAGAAAAATCAGTGCTTTTGTTGTCATTTTTACCTATAGTTTTGATAAATGCTTCTGACATCTGTATGAAAATGCTAAGAAAGCAATCATTTTGGTACATTTGACACTTATTAAAGTTCTAACTAAGCTATTTCACATTAATTTCATTTGTCAGGTTTTGTAAGCTGATAGCAAAGTTGCCTTAAGGTAATTTGTATACCACTTTAGGAAAGTCTTAATGCAACCCTTTGGACTTGTGGTAGAATTTGTTGATAAAATGAATTTATGTAGATTCTTTTTGAATGTATTGACTAAAATATTGTCTGTATGTGCATTTTACAAGTCTGCTTATACAGTACAATGTGCACTACCACTTGTACATCACCTTGTGTAAATTTCACTCTGCTGCACATCAGGAGTGGATTCTACCTGGCCACTTTATGGCTTACCTCAGCATTCCTGAATGACATAAGGGAGGTGGTAAGATCTTGAGTCATACATTAATCAGGGGTATTACCTAATAGTAGAGTGTTGCTCAAGCTTCCCTCTACCTGTAAATCGGAGAATTGTGGGCCTTGCACAGACAATAGTGGAAAATGGTCCATACACTCTAATTCATGAAAGTTTTGATCAGAACATACTCATTTTTTGAAAAAATTGAAATTTATAAATGTGTCTTTTGAGACCTTCTTGCCAGATTGTATCATGAAGAGATGTTTTTCATAGATAATTTGTATGCATGCAAAATAATATGCAACCTCTTGTATGTACATAATCTAGAAAGAAATCATGAAGTTTCATGCTTTTGTACAATCTTGATTTACAAAATATCAATATCTTTGCATTTTTGTCATGTTAAAGTAAGAATTTATGTGTATCATCAAATTGTATAAAAATGCCTATGTTTGTGTGGAAAGTTGAGTTAATATTGGTTATATTTTCTCAGTGTGTGTGAGCACCCATGTGTATGAAGTCCAAATTCTGTACACTCACATCAAAACCTGCTGCTCATAAGACCTGTTTATTCATGTGACCTGTATATTCATATGACCTGTATATTCATTCAGTTTTTTCTTTATTAGCTTTTAGAGCAGACATTTCATCTCATATATGTTCAACGGAGCTGCAACAAATCACTGGTTAGTACGACATTATACAAGGCAATGGTTCTGGGTTAGAATCCTGTCAAAATCAGTCAGTTGCTGTGGTGTGTCTCTGGGCAAGACGCTTTACTCCCATTGCCTCATCACTGTGTAGCCTTTAATGTGATAATGTGTTGTTAAACACCAATAACCAACCAAATTTAAAATGTGTTCATTTGCATAGGACAAGTCTTCTTAGACGTACCAAAATTGCTGTCATAGCTAAAGTAATTTTACAGTGATATTATTAAAAAGCAGTTGATTCTTGACCATAAGTAATATAATTATGGTCACAAAACAATTTTGTAGTTGAAGTCTTTCACATGTACACAAATAAAAGCATCAGCGATATATTGATGTTGTTTAATCGGATTGGTTATTTTTGCATCATGTAGTATATTTCACAAAAGGTATCTATGTTCCTCTGAGTTGATTAGTAGGTTTAGATATTTTTTCAATGGAAATAATCCAGTCATGAAGAATTTTGTTCATGTATCTGTAATGTCACATTTCATTGTTTGCAAAGTGTTGACAGTTGAGTATGCAGTGGAGAGAAATATGAAAATGAACTGAAATGATCTTTTTAATACACACATACCTACATACAGACATGAGTTACAGATATATAGACACCTACAAGTGATAGGCCACTTCCTCTCAGTTGATCAGTAGATTTCTTAAGGGAATGAGCCAATCACAAAGGGCTTTGTATCTGTAATTTCACATTTGATTGGTAGAAACTTTTGGCAGAATTGTGTACAAGGGAGATAAATGTGGTAATGACTAAAGGCTGGTCCTCACTTGTTTTTCTTACCTGTATTATTTCATGCATGAACAATTAAAGGTATGCATTAATCTATTGTAAACTCACAAAATTTATAATTGAGACATGTCTAGGTGCTTCCCCATTATTTCAAACGTTTTGGGCATTACATTTCATTTTTTCACTCTTGCCAGATAAAGAACACTATAATGATTGACATTTGATCCACTGGGACGAATATAGTTGTTATCCGGATGTTTTAATATCATAAAGAAAAAATGGATGATGTCAAGGAAAGTGTCATATGTTTGAAGGTATGAATCATTTTTATGATGCCTTCTGTACAGGGATCTCCATAGTCCATATTTGTATCACTGCAAAAGGACATGAACGAGAACATGACAACGACTTTCTCATCTTGTATTTTATTTGTATGTAATCACATGCAAAGTAATGTAAATTCATGTTTTGTGGGTATAATATTTTTTTGGTTGTAAGAAGATTTATACTTTCGTGGAGACTCAACTTGGAGTATTAAGGATTGGGTCCTGTTCTTTCCACGAAAGGTGCGGTGTTGGATTTTAAATTTCCAGTTTGAAGCAGCCAAGAAAATTGGTATCCCATAAAAATCATGAATGCACAATATATGTAAAAAGCTCAGTTGTGTGAGATGAAAGTGACCTTACAAGATTAAAATTGCACTCATAGTTTGGCAGTCAACAGAATAAAAATATCTGTGATAGGATTATTTTTTTATATTTTAATTTCCTTCATTTTTAAGTTGCCTCACCAAAAGGCTGTGTGAGCTTATAGGATGGCCCTGCAACTTTTATACATTGTTGATCAGCAATTCCTGTCTCAAACTTCTTAAAATTCCACTTGACCAGTTTCTGTCACAATTGGCAGGAAACCTTGTTCAATGCTGTTGATCTGCAATCAAATATAGCTGCTCCTACTAAAAATTTAACTGCTCCGGTGGCCGAGTGGTTAGGGCGAATGGATAAAATCTAGTGCAATAAGTACAAATTCATATTTACTTAGAGTGATATACCTTTTTTAAGCACTATCATGGACACAGACTATAGAGAAATCAAGATCGGTCATGAACATCTGTTGTATTTTCTGGTAATATTGCATCTAAATAAAATGACTGGAATTTTAGTGACCATTCAGGATTTGGCCAAAGCTCACCAGTTCGCTTTGTCATCCGTCACAAAAGCCAGGCTGCAGAACTCAATCAACGTTTTATTTTCTGTTTGCACTTTAATTGTAGTCTCTGTTAAATGAAAGTAAAATTCATCAGGCAGCATCCGGAATTTGTTTTAAAAAATATTATTGAAGATCCTGTGGACTACAATAGGATGCAAAAGTAGCTAATTCACTCGGTGTAGTGATACCCTGAAGTTACATGTAGACTTTTGGTAATAAAGAACATTTATGAAAAAAATGTGTTTGCTGCGCATAAAAGGAAAGGCAATGTATAAGATGGGAGAAACCACTGACACTTCAATAAATGTCCTCAGCTTATAATGATTTTGGATGCAGAGACAAGGTATATGAGATCATGTTGGACATTTTTTTTTTTTTTTTGCTCTTGTATGGTATAAAGCCATTGTTCAGCACAAGATAGGCTATATATGGCAGCCAGTGAACTGTGTGGAGGAAGAACCCGGGAAAACCCCAGAAAAATCACTGTTCCACGAGAAGCTACTGGCATGCCTTCTCACATACCCACATTGGCCGTACCCGGGACTCGAACCCACGCAAAGGTGAGATTTTAATGGTCCGTAACGGCAAAGCCGGACTTACCATTGGGCAAAGGTCGGCAATTGCCTTAGGTCCAAAACTACCAAGGGCCCCGTAAAACGCCTCATAAACACATGATTATTATTTGTTTTATTTTTCACCAGTTAATTATATATCTAAACATCGATGCGCTCTGTGAAGACTGGTGACATGTTACAAGTGGCCTAGTGGTTAGAGCGTCCGCCTCGGATGCAGGTGGTCGTGAGTTCAAGCCCAGGCCTAATCATACCAGAGACTTGCAGAAACGGTATTTATAGCTAGCTGCCTCTCTTGGCGCTCAGCATTAAGAGGTTAGTGCTAGGACTGGTCGTCTTGGTGTCAGGATAATGTGACTGGGTGGTATATCATGCTACATGTCTGCGGCATGATACCCCAGTGCTAAACATCATTATAAACTGCCACACTGCCGGCATCGTAGCGATATGACTGAAAAATTGTTAAAGCTACGTTAAAAATCATAACCACATTCATCACCTTTTTTTGAGGTAGTAGTTGTTTTAAATAGAAGCAGTCTTCTCGTTTGATTTTCTCACATGTTTTGCAATAGGTTTATTTTTCATGACAAAAAAGCTTATGTTTGTTGTCTCCCATACGTAGGCCGTCTTCTTCGATGCGGCGAAAGAATGACTCGCAGGCGTACCATGATTTTGACTTATAGTCACTATACAGTGGCGTCACTAGGGTTGGTAATTATTGTCACCCCATGGACCTCATTCCTGCAAAAAAATTCAAAACTTTATATAGTCATGTTGATGTCACCCCTCTGATGGTGTCACCCGGTGGGATCAAAAGTCTTAATATATTTATATAAGGGCATGAACTGAATAAATAACTATGAGCGTGTTGCGGGATCTTATTGGATCAAATTCTCCAATGTTTGGTTTTACATCCAAACATTTAACAAAGTGAGGTTCTTTATTGCTATAAAGCGACCAAACTTCATTCAGGTTTTATTATTTGCCTTTGATTTTTATCATGGGATTCCTAAGTCAGTATTCTTTAGCTTTCTCCGTGATAAAAATAATACCTAAGTACCAGTGAAAAGTATACGGTTAGGTATGTATAGAAATATATGCTATGCTATTTTGTTGACGATTGAACACACTTTTGTGCGAATCATTTAATATTTTAATCAAATCCACAGAGATCTCGTCTCAACATTGCTATTGGGTATGTTAGTCGTTGCCTCCTTGATAAAACGCATTTAATTTTTAGCATGGCCGTAAGTCTGTGTAATACAGAATATTTCTCAAAGAAGAGCAGATTAACAATCATTTTTTTAGAAGACGCGCAATTATAACTCATCCAATAAGAATTTAGCAATTCAATTACATTATCAATTGTATTCACATTATTCTCGTACCAGCCTTCTTTAGGAGACCTATTATATTTTTTCGCCAATCTTAAGCAAGTCTTTAATATTATTGCAATTTGTTTTTGAATATATAGAATTAAAGGCCTATGTTGTGCTACTGCGAGAATATATTTCAGAAACATTTTTGAAGTAACAAAACTTGCAAACTAGGCCTGTTACCCAAAAATAATAGATACGGTTTATATCCAACGGTTTCTAGTGGTGTGCCCCATCCAGATATGTTTTGTATATCATTTGTCAATGATAGTGGAGTGGAAAACTTACGACGTGAAATCTTGATCTGCGGAGAATACATTCAATAGTTTCGATCTCTACCCACAAACCCTCATAGCCCAACAGTACTTGCACCAGGGTATTTTGGAACTTAAACGGGGACTTTTTCAATGTTTATTGCACGGTGTACATACATACATACATACATACATACATACATACATACATACATACATACATACATACATACATACATATACATATACACACATACATACATACATACATACATACATACATACATACATACATACATACATAGAGATGCTATAACCACCTGCGCCAAACTTTTTGTGCATCCGAATTCTTTTTATGGTTTGGAATATGTACTCTCCTCTCTCGATGACTCCAAATACTATGTTCACAATGAATCAACAGAGCGATCCAATCGCAAACTAATTTTAATAATGTAATAATTTATACAAACAGACTTAAGTCTGTGCAGGATAAATCGGCGCCTCGCGAAAAGCTCTGCAATCTTTCCTTAGAAAATCTATAAATAGTGACTCCCCACACGCCAATATCTTATTACAACATTACGAGGAATATTTTTCAGGCATTCACGCCCTGGTTGGTCGATCTCTTCAAACCATAGTCATTCCGTCATCATAATAATATGAGTGATTTATCCGCAGTTAATCCTATATCATTAGAGAATAAGGACTCGTGCAATTATTTCACTCTTGTAGTTATCTAGTCAAGACAAGTAGCCCGGGATTATAATAAATATACAAAAATTGCAGTCCCTGTGACATTTTTGAGTATTTTTTAAAGTAAACTTCATACTTACAGTTATTGCGTGATACAATTAAAATATGCTTCGGATTGGGGTCAATGAGGTTGGCGTTGTGTGTGGAAATAGGGACTAAAAATTATAGATCAAGTTTCACGTGGCAGTCATAAAATATTGATTACTGTCTCTTTTTGCTGTTTTTGCTCTCCCATTAACTCTGCTTTGTTCTATAAATGAAAGCTCTTCCTCAACGACCATTCATATAACAAATGTCAGCAAATGACCCTCTTTTCAATCATCGTTTCCATTTTGATTTTCAAGTTGTATCGCATTTGCTGCGGGGAATTCATGATAACGACCTTTTTGTAGGGTGGGATGTAAGACGTGTGTTTGTGTGTGTGTGTGTGTGTGTGTTGTTGTTGTTGTTGTTGTTGTTGTTGTCACAGTGAACTCATCTGCAAATATTACCTAACAGAGGAACTATGCAGAATAGTCGAGAAAATAAGGACTCTTTATGGGAAATTTCATTGTAGCATTACGGCACACATGAAATTCGTATTCCAGAATTATAGTGATTTCAATGGATATAACAACTATATAGTTTTTAATCCATTTTCTCTTCAGCCAAGAAAGCCGTATTTGAAGGAATTATCATTGTCAGATAAAATTTTAAAAAAATCCAATTTCGTTGTACAGAACAAGATTTTCTCCTGCGTTTATATCAAGACATAAGAAATTGTTCAATTCCATCTAATTCCTCTTGTAGCCTGCATGTTGAAAAACTAAACTTCGCTAAATTTACCAGTTATATAAGTTGTTTTCAGAGGAGCAATGGTCCAGCAAATAAAAATTTGAAAATTATTTTAAATATAAGATTTGACAAAAGCAAAATGAGGCTGAGCAAATAAATATCAGTAACTTGCTTAAGCAGAAACGTGTTATAAACGCTTGTGTTATATATCGAAATTTCGACAGATACTAGGAAAGTCTTAACAGAACACGTTCCTTGGTCAAGAACATGAAAGCTGTCGCAATTCCAATGGACGACTTTGTTATAGAAACATAAATTTGTCATCCTTCTGAGTATCTTGAAAACTGCCTCTATACTTATTCCCGAAGACATTTAGAAACTGTCTCTATTATTGTTCCCGAACACATCTTGCAAACTGTCTTTATGTTTGTTCCCGATGACATCTTGAAAATTGTTCTATTCTTGTTCCCGAGGATATCATTAAAACTGGCTCTATGATTGTTCCCCAAGACATTAAACAGACACTTTCCTTTGTAAGAAATGTATGCTTTTGTTAGGTGCTGAGAATTGTGCAGACGTTAAAAGTTGAAATTATCCGTATAATATTCTGGAAATTATCCGAACTTTGTGTGTGTGTGTGTCTGTGTGTGTGTGTGTGTATATATATATATATATATATATATATATATATATATATATATATATATATATATATATATATATATATATATATATGACAAATAAAATATTTCTTTGAATGGCCAAATAAATAGTTTTTATAAATGTCTAAATATGGCTTGGCTTTGAAATTAAATATTTACTAAAAGGCAAGACCTATCTTGCAGATTTCCAAAGTTGGATCTTATTCGTAATTGTTTTTTTTTTTCATGCTGCAACTTAGATAAAATAAAACTGAACGCTCATAAAATTAAGGCACTAAAAGAATGTTATTTCTGACAGATGGTAAGCTCGTGTTCTCCTGCTGTTTGAAACGACTGATGTGATAATCCCACACAAGGAGAGGTGATTCACATAAAGTGAGTCATCGACAAGTGAGGGCGCATGCAGGAAAGACAAGACGATCTGCAAGAGAATCATCCCCCCCCCTTGTCTGTAAGAAGCCTATCTGGCATATCTTAGTTTGTTCTTTGGTTTTTTTTGGGGGGGGGTACCTTGTTTGTTAGTGGTGGGGTTGAGAGAAGGGTATTATTTTACTGAAATTTTGTTTTATTTTGTAAATTCATTTATATTGCTATATTTTAATACTAATTATGAAAGGACATATTTTGTTATACAATTATATTGTCAAGAAAGACTACAGACTATACTATTTTATTTTAAAAAATGAGTATAGCTGACAAATAATTAACTCAGGAACATAAAAAACCGTGAATCTGAATATATATATATATATATATATATATATATATATATATATATATATATATATATATATATATGAGAATTAATTACTAGGTCGTCATGCGAGTGTGTCTGCTACGCACGAACTTATATAACAAGGATTCAGTGTCATCATTTTTTTGTGATGCGTGCTTAGTCGTGACGGTATATGGGTTGGTGCGTGCAGGCAAGGCGAACGGTACCATTTTACTGGCGGACCTGGGTTCGAAACTCCGTAGAGTATTAATTTCTCTAACTTGTATGTTAGTAATTTTTGCATTAAACAATTATTTCTGCCCACTATTATCAAGATTCTGCTACAGAATCCAGGGATATCACAGTCTGTTCTGTCTGGTATATATATAATATATATATATATATATATATATATATATATATATATATATATATATATATATATATATATATATATATATATATATATATATATATATATATAGAGAGAGAGAGAGAGAGAGAGAGAGAGAGAGAGAGAGAGAGAGAGAGAGAGAGAGAGAGATGGCTAACAAGTAGCCCGAATTGTCAAAGGTACTTCCATTGATTTATAATTCTGACATGTACCAATTTTATAATATTATATCCGTAATCGCCAATTTAGAAAGGGAGTATAGTAGTGCTGTAGCTGTAGTTACGATTAATGAAGAAAAATGTTATTTCTACCATTGCAGAGTT